TGGTCCATATTCAGGCGGCTTGGCTTGTTTTAGCTTAGAAGAATTAGCAGTTGTTGATCAATGAATCCAGAAGACCAGCGGCTTCAGATGGCAGATGATGTCGGGTGTGTGTGTGTGTGTGTGTGTGTGTGTGTTAGAGGGGGTTAGGGGGTGCATGTGTTCATCTCTTGCCTCTCCCGTTGCTGGGAGCGCCCCAGNGTGGGCGGCTCTCGGCTAATTGTGAGTCATTTAGGCTGAACTTTGCAAATGGTAGGATCCCAGTCCCAATTAAGACATTACACTTCATGTGTTAATTAAGGCTTTTTCTTTAAATCAGGCCACAACTCCTCTTAATTAGGAGGCTATAGCCACCGTAATTTGAACTGGTCTGAGTTTAAAACACCCCTAGCGGAAGTCACACCTGGGAGCTGCACCCGAGGAGGAGGAGAAAGGGGCTAAATTGGTCCCTTGCTCCCTTGCGGTGATTGCGAGGAGGAGCCCAGCAGGGCTGTAATTGGAAGGGTGCTGCAGCCTCCGCCTCCAAAAGCGAGCAGAAGGCAGAGCCTCCCTCCCTCCCTCCCTCGCTCGAGAGAAGCCCCTAGGGGCCCGATCCTCTTCTCCTCGCTGCCTGCCGGCGCGGCCGGATCAGGGCGCCTCCTGGCAGAAGCCCAGAGCTGCAGCTGGCGGTCCTTGGTGGCCGTGCTGCGCTCTTGGGAGGAGGCCGGGGTGCAGGACGCCCTGGCACCGTTCTGTGGCTTTCTCCAGTCTTTGTCTTGTGCCAAGATTTCTGGATAAATCTTTGGGTGCAAGACTTTGCTTTTTCTTCCCACGTTCAAGTTTCCACACATTTCCATGCCTTTCCCCTAAAGTGCACTTTGATTAATGCATCCCCCCCACACACACACCCTTTGACATACTTTTCCCGGTTAGACGCTTTAAGAGGTTGGCTTTTTTAAATGCACGCATTTCTTTGTGTGCCGTTTACGCTCCTGAAAAGCACTGTGAGTGAGCTGTGTGAAGCGAATGTGTGGATTCTCGGAGGGAGAGACATTTCTCCTCACCACGAATCCCGGGGAGGGTGATGAGGCTGCTTCGGCAAGGCCGTGGGACCTGGAGAGCTTCTCTTCCGTCCGTCCCTTCGGTGGCGAGGGGGCCAGGCACCTCCGAGATCCAGCAGGGCCCGGCTGCAAAACAGGGTGGAGAACGACCAGGTCCCCCCCCCCCGCCACCGGCTTGGCCCCCACTGATGCCACCACCTTTGGTGTGATGTGTTCTCCGCCTTTCACAGAATCGCTCTTCAAAGCCTTGCCAAATGGGGGGAGGGGGGGAGCAGGGCCATGACGTGGTGGTGGATACGTGGCAGAGTGGGTTTGCAAAGCCTTTGCTGTGGGTTGACTTCACCCCTGGCCATACCCTGCATGCCCTGTGCCCATCTGGGGGTAGGACGTGGCTCTCAGTGCCACGGGGGTTTGGACACGTCTGAGTGAGGACACAAGAGAGCAAGGTGTGTCTGCCCACCAGCAGCCCTTTCTAAAGGTTTATTTCTTGGCTCAGGCAGCCCCTCCTCTTCCTCCTCCTCCTCCTGGCTGGCCTGGCCGGTGGCTTCTTGCCCCTCTTCCGCCACCACCCTCGCCCCCTCGCCCATCTTGTTTGCGCTGCCCGCCCAGGCTCGTGCCTTCCAGGGGGCAGAGCCCCCCTCTCTTTGGGTGCCCGCCTGGGGGGGGGGCTGTGTCAGGCTCCAGGGGCTGATCTGCGGCTTGTCCTTCCAGGGCGTTTCCTGAACCCGGCCTTCCTTTTCGCTTCCCGAGTGCTGGACCAGGACCCGCTTTGGGGTAGGGGCCAGTTCTCGGTCCCACTTTGCACATGGCTGCCATTGCTGAGTCCCAGAGGGGGCTGTAGGGGGTGGGTGGGTAGGTGGTCTCCCTGCCACGTGTCTTGCTCTGGCTAAGCCCTTCTCCTCCTCCTCCTCCTCTTCCTTGCAGAACGGCTCTCCTGCGCTCCCGGCCTCGGCTGGTGCTCCCTGTGCAGAGCCTCGTGTGCCTTGCTGCCTTCGGCCTGGCCCTGCCCTTGGCCATCAGCCTCTTCCCGCAGATGTCAGAGGTCAGTGAGACCGCCCCTCCCTCCCTCCCTCCCTCCTTTCTCTAAAGCGTCCCACAATGAGTCTCTCACCGGCTGCCGTCATGATTCTCCACCACTCCTTCGAACGCCCCCTAAGAGCCAGAGGGGTGGGGTGACTGCCCCCCCTTTCCTTTCCTTTCCTTCTCTTCTCTTCTCTCAGCTTCCTCCCAGCGGAACAGGACCTCCGCATGCCCGAACTGACCACCTCCTCCTTTGTGGCCGCCACAGCCGCCTGCCACTCGCTCACCACCATCGGCGGACGACTCTCGGGGGACCCTCTGGACCTCAAGATGTTTC